GCTATTGTAAGGGGAATTTCTGTGCATTTTTTTATGTGAGCCAGATCTTCAGTTGGCATAAACTGGTGGAACTCCACGGATTTCTTATTTGTACCAGTCAAATATCTGGTCCAGCAGATATCAATCCAGGAAGGAAAAGTTCAATATGGTTTAATGCCATCTCAAGGTGAAAGGAAGTTAGAATGACTTGATCAAGCATATTACAAAGCATTGTGCTACATTAGTGAACATATTGTAAAGCTGAACAATGTGTAATAACATGACACTATGCCATCAGCAAATCCAGCCGTATTCTCTCCAGAGGTGAATTTGAATGAGGAGTGACAAAGATAAATAAGGTCCTTTTGCACCAGGAAAAATTCTGGTTCACAAGGGTGGGAGAAGGAAGGGTTATCCGTATTCAGGGCTTGAAATAAGTGATTTTTTTTTCTCTCTACCCAGTACAGTTCCCCATGCTAAATGACACAGGGCATTTGTAATTCACCATTTGACCTTGTTTTATAGTGTATATATATAAATGCAGTTTAATTTTGTCAAGATTTATTCATAGTAAATTTCCAATTATTACTCACTTCTTAACAGCTTCATCCAGTAAGCTTGAAGCTTTTCCCCAGCATATCATCAGATGTTCTTTAGCACTATAAAATTAGTTAGAAAGTAATTTTCTTAATTTGGTTTCTTGCAACCAAATAAATGAAAATCCATCTCCAGCTGAAGCTGGGGGATTTAGGGTTTTTCCTTTATTAAAGAGAAATGATAATCTATAAAGTAGGAAAGCAGCTGGGGACGAATATTAACTACTAAAAGGCTTATCTGCCATAATATCTTAGAGATGCTTGAACAACTAGAGAGTCCCCACCGGCATCAGTTTATATACTGTGCTTGCAACAGAAAGCAAGGCAGCTCTCACATATCTGTATGAAAGGATGGAAGCTTCCGTCTTCCTCATGACACTAGAATGGAAAGCCCCTGATTTAGTGTAGATTACGCATCAGCTCCGCAAAATATTTAAGCACTTGCTTAAGTACATTCCTGTTCATCGGAGCATGTAAGTTCATGCTTCACTCCAGGTACTTGCTTAAGTCCTTTTAAATTCAGTAGAATGAAAGTATATGCCTACATGTAAGAATGTGCTTACAGGTTTGGTGAAAAAGAATGAACTGGTGAATTGGAGGAGCTAGCGTCTTTGGTGTTCTTCCATTTCTGACAAAAAGGGAAACAGTAATTCCTCTAGGACAGTGGTTCTCAACCCTTTTTGTACCAGGACCCATTTGTAAACATTGATGGCCAGTCCCAACCCAGTGCCCCTCACTCCTGACCCGCTGCTCCCTGCAGACCCCAGCTCTCCCTGCCACTCCATATGTGGGGCAAGGGGTGGGTGTTTGGGGCTGGAGGGGATGTTGGGGTATGGGGGGGGGCCCAAGCAGGCCCTCGTAGGCTGGAGCTCTGCCAGCCTGCAAGGGAGAAGGCACGGTTTCACACGTTTTTCTCCTTTAAAGGAGAATCCATGTTTAAAGTTTGTTTGCAACCCTTTCATATATTCTTGCGACCTGTGGGCTGAGAAACACTGCTCTAGGATACTGTTACTAGAGGAGTCACAGCCATGCTTACCATGATTGACTACTGATAGACGGTACAAAATGACATACCGCAGGTGTTACTGACAGAAGTTACAGTGGAATTAGACTCCACCTTTCAGTCTGCTCATAAAAAATGCTTGCAGTTCCCATCTCAAGGCAGATGAATTTATGATAGATAGATACCTAGACAGATAGATAGTTATGGCGCAAAGCATACGACCAAGCATATCTGTGTCCAAAGCATTTTAAGTAGAAATGAGCCAGGTAAATCCAGTCAGCAGTCCACCTTGTGATGGGTAATTTAGACCAGGAATGGACAGGCATGAGAGAAGGGGCTTATTGTGACAACAGTCAGTAGAGTCCCATAGTCTATAAGTAATAAAGAGCTCAGACAATTATTACTTCTCCTTTTTTCCAGAAATGGAATGGCACCAGTGTCACAAGGGCCTCCCGTTTGCCATGCCATCCCTATTTAGCAAAACGGTTTTATTTATGTTGAAATATAGGTATGTGCTTAAATGCAGATCTGAGCTTTTGACCATCTGTGATCTCAAGGAAAGCTTGGGATACAGTATTCAGATCTGTATGCTGGAGGTCATTGGAGGGTGGGGGAGAGATTTTCCATTCTAAATTCTGGTTCATACCTATCGCTAATTTTAATATTGAAAACATTAAGACAAATCATATTGTTATCAGAGCTGCTTTGCTGGGTTGGTTTGCAACTCTGCATAGGACGATCTTAACCAGGGCCCATAGATATAGAGAATACAATGGTTATCCCACAGCCAGCATCACCCTTGCCAGCCCCTTTCCTCATGTAGGAAATGCATAGAATGTGATAATGAATAAATGAAGTGTGAAGGCTTTCCTTCCTCTGATTTATGTGCAGAAGTGTTGCTAATTTTCCCGATGTTATCTCCCCTTACAGGATATAATTACCTGATTTACTTGATTGCCTTCTGGGAATTTTTTTTTTTTTTTTATAAATTGACTTAAAATTGTTTATACTGTTGCAAAGTGATAATTTCATAAAGTGTTCGCTAATCTGCTTGAGGTTGTTTGTTGTCTGAGATTTATTTTTATTTCCTGTGCCCTTCATTGCTCTCACTTGTAGTTATTTTAGCAAGTCGCTATCACAGTGTTGCTGAAACTGAAATATCCGGGCAGTTATCTGCATGTCTTTGTCTGGACCTATAACCAGATAAACTCTTTTATTCCCCTTTGCCTTAGCTTTTTTTTTTTACGGTTTCCAATACCATCCTAAGTTTGCTGAAGAAGAGCTTTTTGCATGGAATTCAACATGCCATACCGGTCTTAACTTTAATTTCACTGGCTAAATCCAACCCGTTTTTGGTCAGGGAGAAGCCCTTAGCCTCATATATCTTTTCCTTCAGAAGGGTCTGGGTAGTGATGCCCTGTAAAATTTTCATTCCTGCCTTCGACAGGAAAACAAGTTTGCTCCATCCTGCCAAAAATGATAAGTGAATTCTAGGCACAACTCTTGCAGCAGCCCCCAGAGTTCACCACTAGGCATTAATTTGTCATTGCGGAACCAGGAAAGTGTCATTTTTGCTAAGGGTCTGAAAAAAATCTTTGTAATTGCAGGGACACGTGGTAACTATCTTATCATGTTAATGGATGACATATTAGAAAAAAACAAAACTTAGATGTTTGGGAATATGCCTCTATAAACATAAAAACAATTATGGAAATAAGCTAATATTGGTTCTATTGGTTCTGTGTTACAAGTTGTTAATGTTTCTGAATGGCTTACACCTGTCGTGCCTGTCATAGTTATAAAAGATCCCTATAATGCCTGTTCACAGAAGGATAGTGATTCACAGTGGCATTTCGCATGTCTTTAATTTGGCTGCTGGGAACCTTGCAGCCTACCAGAATTTTTAGAGCCCATGATGTCTTAATTGGCCATCTTGTCACAGAGCTCACGGTTTAATTTGAATGTTTTAGATATTTTTTGTTCGGTGCTCCGAGGTATGCTGATCTACAGCTGCTCTTCTTTATTTCTCTTCACCCAGCACACCTCACCCCAGCATCAAAATTCCACATTCCCAGTTTCCATTTCCATTCTCAAATGGTATCTCTCACCACGGTGTGGAAGCCCCTTCCGATAGCACATTAAGTGACATTTCTAGCTCCTGCCATGTGGGGCTGAAAGGACTTCTGAAGCAGCTTTGAATTGCTCATGATGCATCCCCAGATGGGAAAGGTGAGAATGGACACTGTAAGACAAGGAAGCGAGTCTGTTTTTCTTCAGTAGTTCTCAGCACCTCTGTTTTTGCCTGACAGCCAGGGAGGTACAATTAAGGGAGCAGTCGCACACTACACCAGAATTAACTAGGGTCATTACAAGCAGCGATAATCCTGATTTTCCCAGATCAGCTTCTCTTGCCACAGGGCAGGTCTGTCTGGAGGATACAGATCAGCCGTTCTGCTTTATTATCACAAAATGAATGCAACTGAAGAGAGAAGTTTCTTTCTTCCCTTGTTATGTTTCCTGTTGCTGTGTGTGCCCATAGTGCCTGGGGTTGTTTGAATTGGTAACTTGGGCTCCCAGAATGATAAGTTACCTCTGGCGCTCCTCAAATGGCATCTGTAGCCGGTGGGCCATGTGCTCCTCCCATACAGGCAATTGTGTGATCTGTAAATAGCTATTATGCTGGCATGGCCTAAATTAGTTGCAAATTGACAACTCAATTGTAAAACAAAAAATGACCTAGTAATTAATAGGATATTTCCATAAAGCCATAATTACCATTTACCTCTGTGCTATCTGTACTTCCCTTTATTCTGATAAAGCCCTATTCCTTCCCCTGCCCTCCCCTTTCTGCCAGCAAAAATATTGTTTCAATCCTTACAATTTTTCAAGCTGTCCTTGGAAAAATAAATGAATCGTGGCTCTCCCATCTCCCTCCCCATTGTCCCTCCTGCAGGGGAGAGGCGAGTTTGTTTGTATTGTACAACCTTTATTTAGTCGAGGTTTTGTTTCTTTGTTTTAACTTAGAGATAACATCTTAACTCTGCTCCTCCAAGCTCAAGGCCTTCCTCATTTTGTCACTTACAATCAGTGACTGTGTTTGGTTCCCCCTTATACTTCTCCCCTCCCCATCCTCTCTCTTCCTCCAGCCTAGTGAAATAATGGCACTGATGAGCTCTTATCTTTTTGTCACACTCCTGCCAGCATAGGAGACAAATTGATTTATGTATGTGGCATCCTCCTCCTGATAGTGCCATAATTTACCACTAAATATTGCTTTGACACAATAGTTTTGTAACAAATACATAATGCATATTGCTCTACTTTCCCTCCACCTCAATCGGTTTTTGAATTAATGGAGTGAGACTACCTCAATTCAGAGGAATCTCATGTCCAATGCCTGCTTGGAGTCTCACAGAATACCAATCTGCCGCTTCTCCTTGCTTTCTCTGCTTAGTGTCACCTTGAAATGAAGCCGGTTCCCCCATTAGGGCTTTTTTTTTTTTTTCCCTTGCGTTGT